CATCAAGAAACGGAATTTTTGACTCGTTTTCCATTTCAAGAGTGAATTTTATTGCTGGATGGCAATCGTTGAATGTCTTCAGCAGTAGATTGGGGTCGTTGTTGTTGTCACAAATAATGAAAATGTCATCCACGTATCTTTTGTACAGTTGCAAATTGTCGATACTTGACTTTAGTGAACCTCTCTCGAGGCTTGCCACGAAGCAGTCTGATAGTAGTGGACCCAACGGAGATCCCATTGCAATACCATCCTTTTGTCTGTAGATAGTGTCGTTGAATGTGAACTGGACGTTCAGAGTGCATCTCAATAATAATTCTTTCAAGTATGTTGTCGGTATTCCAATATCGATGTGGTTGTCATCTATATATCTGCATATGAAGCAGACCGTTTCTGTGAGTGGGACATTGGTGAAGAGTGACTCGATGTCGAAGGATAGCATAATTTGGTTAGATACATTCGTGTCTTGTATGCACTCGATGAACTGGAAGGTGTCACGGAGTGAGTGCGTACATAATTGCTTCCTTACAGGTTCCAGAATATCTGCTAGCCATTGTGCAATAGAGTGGTAAGGGGAACCTGACATATCCAGAATTGGGCGAAGTGGGAGACCAACCTTGTGTACCTTTGGTAGACCATAAAGTCTTGGTATTACTGAACCTGTTGGCCGGATCTGGTCGTAAATATCCCCACTAATTAGTTGACTGGCCTTCATTCTCTTCAAGACGTCTGTGAGTTGCTTCTCAATCTGTTCCGTCTTGTTTCTTTCATTGGAAGCTTGGGAAAATTTGTCTTCATTCGACAGTATATCGTTCATTTTCTCGATGTAGTCTCTTCGATTCAGAAGCACTACACCAGCACCCTTGTCGGGCCGAGTTATAAGCAGATCTTTGTTATCTCTCAACTGTTTTAATTCCTCTCGGTGCCGTTTCGTCAGGTGGTTGCGGACTTTTGATTTTGTATTCAAGTATTGATGGCAGCAGTCCATTATTGTTGACTTGAATCTCTGTAGTTCGTCTTCAGAAGTTGGGCTGAGATCGTGCGTTTGGCTGATTAGATTATCAAACTGGACCTGAGTATGGAGTTTGTCGGCGTTGAAGTTTATATCGCAGAATTTAGGGCCCAGAGATAGAACTTCTAGTTGCACGTCGGTTAAAGGTACTGAGGAATAATTGAGCACAAACTTCGTGGGTTCGTCAGGAAATTTGCCTTGAGGTTTCATTTGCTTTAGGCTGTTGTTGAGCTGGGTTACAACGGACTGCGATCGTTTATTTGCAACCAAGTTGATATATTCATTGAATCTTTGACATTCGTCCGAAGTCAATTCGTATAAGGCAGAGGACCTCTGATTGATATTCCGCTGCAGTTCGGGCATACGTGATCTGATAGAATCAGCACAATTCACTAATATCTCTCTGTATACACACTTCCTTAACTTAATTCCGATGAAATACGAACGTAATATGATCAGGTGCTAAGCATTTAGAGTGAGGTCCATTTGTTCCGAAGACTGTGTAGAGAAAGAACTCCAGGTCATCCGAGACATTCTAAGCGAGAACGGATATCCAGAGAAGTTCATTAAAGTCAACATAGGTTACGAGAGCCGTAAACATGAACTGGCAACGGTGAAGAAAAAGCCTCTGTTTTTACGTCTCCAATTCAAGGGAGATACTCCTGCGGAGATTCTATTGCAACGTTTAACCAGGGCGATCAAGAAAACTTTCTACTCTGCACGTCTGTGTCTATCCTTCAGTAACCGTCCAATGTTCACTCGACAACTCAAAGATGTCTTACCTAAGCTTAGCTCTTCTTCATGCATATACCATTTCAACTGTTTTTGTGGTTCAAGTTATATAGGGCAGGTTCGTCTACGGGTTCGAGAACATTTACCAGCTTGGTTCAGTAGGCGGGAAATTAAGTGCATAAAAAGCTCGATCCTGTCACACTTGGTCGATACTGGACATTGCATCGATGTCAACACAGCTTTCAGGGTTATATACCGAATTCCGAAGTCGTTATCACGTACAGTCCGCACACATCTCCTATACATAGCTGAAGCTGTTGCAATAAGATAGACTAAACCGGAACTTTGTATCTAAAAAGAACACGTCCAGACGCTGTTCCTACCGTGGCCAAACTTGGATTGATGATTCTTCTTCTCACCAAGAGTGCTCCTTCCCCTTAACCCTCTTGGCTTTCTTTTCCTTTGCTTATAATTACGAATATTATTATTACAAGTGCTATTATTATTATTACTATTATTATTCGTCATAATTTATACCCTTCATGCAAACATTCTCTCAATACTATCGAATTTTTCATTTATACTATCCGGACTTATTATTAGTGATATTATCTCTTTTCTCAATATATGCATGCCTCCACCTGTTTCATTTCACATATTCGCTATTGCGTCGGTGGAACAGTGGTTAGGACTCTCGCCGACCATGCACATGGTCCGAGGTTCGAACCCCTACCGACGCACACCCGATATCTATGGTCGGCCTGCAAAATTTGGGCTACCGATATCCATGCTGAAAATGTCATACTTGTACTGAAAATACGGTGTGGCATCAAGCTGTAATCAAAATAAAAATAAAATAAATAAAATAATCTCAGTATGAACCTCTCATTGCAGTCTTACAATCTCCTGTTTAAAAACTGACCGCTTTGTACTAGCCACTCACTCACCTGACACCTTTTATAACCTTGAACTGACTTGTCAATTTTCCTACCCCACACTCTACAAATCTATTATGATTAATCACCACCATTGTCTCCCATTTCACCGAAATATTTTGTAATCCATTTCTGCCTAGCACGTTTGTCACACAAATACGACTATTTATTCTGACACCCCATAACTAATCTGTTATTCTACGTTAAAAATGTATCCGCCGCATAACTGACCTTTATTGTAACGACAACAAATATTACAATATTTTATAATTGTAAGAACCAGAAGAGAAATTATTGGAAAGAGTATTCTGTTCAGATTGATTTCTAATCTCTCTCTCTAGGCTGGTAACTGTAATTTTTTCATTCTGTTGCGTAACATTCCACTTGATTTTGATTTTCACTTACTGAGTTCAACTCACTGTTACGTTCCCGAATCTACTGAATTATTCTGTGCAGCTTATAATCCTACAGTACTATTAACTCCCACCCTTCTGTAACTTTCCATCATAATACGTATAAATTCTGTGTTAATTGATTGAGTATTTTTTCTCAAGTCCGTCCTTGTTTCCAAGCGAAATCTGAACTCTACTCTTCTCCCTTGTCTAATGATATCATAGATAGTTAGTCTTTTAACACCGAATAATTTGTCTATTTAATTCCTTCTTGAGATCACTTTGTCTGTACTTTCGATCTATAATTTGATGTCACTGTGAGATAGGTAAGTTAGGAGATTTCGAAACTTATATTTTGATATTGTTTAGGATGCAGTTAGTTGAAGGCAGTTCCCAAAATAAAAGGGGGACTGTAATTATGTTCATTCTCTCTTTGTTCAAACTAATAAAGGGAACCGGTTGTATGAAATTAAGGAATAAGGATGATTGTTCCAATTGGTTACATAATGAACAATTAATATATTTACTAAATAATGACACTAATAATTACAATCATAACAAAAATTTAAAAATCGACGCTATTTGGAAAAAACTACAGATTATGGGAGATTCCTTGCTCATCAATCTTGTCATCCACTCACCGTAAAACGCAGGGTTAATACAAGGTCTTGCACACAGAATACGCTGACTTTCAACAACACCGGATGATAACCAACGAAAAGAAATAAACGTCTTATTCAAAATGTTACTGGACAGCAACTACCCAAAGTAATTTATGAGAGATAATATAAAAAAGAAGAGAAAGAGGGTTAAAACAGAGAATGAGAAGAATGAGGACTTCAAAAGAAAGGTTACATTGCCATAGAAAAAAGGTACATCCGAGCAGTTCAAAGAGACCTCACAAATATTGGGATTCATACTACATTTAAACCAAGGAATCTAATAAGAAATAATAAAAAAATCAACTAAAAGATCTGAACAAAATGATGGATAAAAGTAGTAATGTAATTTACACGATATCTTGTGCTGAATGTCCAACTAAATAAGTGGGTCAAACGTCCAAATCACTGAAAATGAGAGTGTAAAAGCATAAGCGCCTAACTAAAGATTATCTCATAGGAACGCAAGCATTCTGTAGTTTAGAGAAGAATGCGTGTATAACTTCATCTGCATTGGATTAAGACAGTGTTTGTATTCTGAAATCTAATATGAACAAATGGAAACAGAGACTCATAACACAGAATCTACTGTTTATTACTGTCACGCCGAATACATGGAACAAGGGTGACTCAGCAGCACAACTGTCAGCAACCTGGAATATAATTCTCGATACACAAAAATGAATGGTCAAAAAATGAACTATATGCATGCATAGGAGTACAAATCATAAAAGCGTGAATTAAAAACAAAAACAATCCCAACAGTCGGTGTGATCACTGGCTGCAACTTTGTTCGAAATATCACCGAAAACATAAAAAAACTTATCATTGTGTGTAAACTATTGAAATAAAATTATAATTGGTTGGAGGATTTCATCATGAGCTGATATTGGTTAGAGAACCATTGGAAAACCAGCGCTGGAGTACTGGACAGCTGTTTCGTCCTAGTTTGAGACTCTTGATCAGCACAAGGAGAGCTCGTAGACCATTCAGACACTGTGACCCAATCTAGTGGCCCATGAATTTTAACTTCTGCCAATTCATGACATAGCACTACCACTTAGCATTGCCTTCTTCGATGAGTAACTGTCGTCACCTTCGACCTGCTGTACCCTAATGGTCACGGCTTCCCACTAGAACCGCAGGTAACTACCTACTTGAATAGGGCCAGTCGATCTATTCCACAATGCTCAAACCATCTTTTTACTGGCATTAATTCATAATTACACTTAACATAAATAGTGATGTTTACATTCTGCTCTTCTTTATCTAGAAATGCATTATGAAAGGTTGGATATAGAATATACAAATGAAATGACCGCCTACATTGGTTCTAGTACAAAATTTAAATGTTATTATAAATTAGACAATTTTCTTAAAACTTATTATAATGGCTACTGGATAGCTAAAATAGCCGATGGAGATAAAGATATTATCTCAGTGGTAGAGGAAGACATTGAGGCGAATGGAGAGGATGGGATTACTGATCGCGTGCATAATGATCAGATTATTCAACCACCATCTGGAAGTCATATCTATACAAAATCTGGTAAAGTGTTTATCAATTGTACATTTATCGATCCTGTTGATGATGGGAGAGTTGTTTTATCCAGTGTTAAAATTATCAGTATTTTAAGTAAGTTTGAATTTATTTGAAAGTTGAAGTAAACAGTTATAATTTTTATATATGTCCAAACCAAGTTCACTTTTAACAGTTTGAAAGAAATTTGGGCATTGGGTATATGATATTCATTATAATAAAGGTTTTTTTGTATTTCCCAGTGAATGAAAAACAAAACGATATTGTTGTTTTTACTGATTTTTCGCTATTTAATGCTAATAGCTGCTTTATCAAAGTAGTATTATTAAACCAGAATTTACAAAATCCACTCAGCGTATATATAACAAAGAGTTAAGAGGTGAGCAAATAGACAAGTTAGGTCAAGTTAAAGGGACACATTGAAAGTCAAAATAACAATGATGATCACTAAACGAAATATCAAAGGTAATCGTGTATCTGTTATGATATCAAAACGAGGTTTGCTAACTTGATCATCGTTCGTCAGTCTGGGGTCATTCTTCGTTGTCAAGTTGGTCATTTGGTAAAGATAACAGAACGAAGTGTAGATTGTTGGATTTGATCGGTGTGTGAAATTATAAAAGCAGTGTGTGTTTAAATAGTGAACTTGCTTATCACATTCGTGTTGATTTTGTCACTTCATGGTTGTGGAGGGAGGTGTTGTAACCAGGTCAAATTCTGTTTTGGTCCATCATTCCTTATTCAGACAATTTGGATTCCACTTGATATGAAGTGCTTCTGATATAGACGTTCTCTGTGATTTCTGAAATTTTTCTGGATTATTTCAATATTGTCAAAATCGATTTTGTGGCCTGATTCTAAGGCGTGTAAACCGAGCTATGGCTGATGATTTTTCAAGTTTTTCTAGTTCAACCGGATTTCTCGGTGGTCGAACAGATGCTCTACGGTGTTCATTTCTTCTGATTACCTTGATTTCTCGTGATGTTTGTCCCATGTATGTCGCATCACATCACATTTCAAGCATTTTATTTTATAGACACAATTAGATAAAGAATCTTTTGGGATTTGGTCTTTTATATGGACAAGGTTGTTTCGTAGTACGTCTGAGGTTTTGAAGAAAACTCTAATGTCGAGCTGATTGAGTACTCTTCTGATATCGTCAGACGATGTCAGGTTTCATTATTATGTTAGGAATATCCCCATATTGAGTCATAAGAAAAAGAAGACGTAAACAGTGGAGAAAAAAGGTTTTCTTTTCGACGATTCATTTCCAACAAATTCTGTACAGTGTTAATTATATATTTAGTTGCAGGATTTCATCATGAGCTGACATTGGTTAATAATAATAATAATAATGGCTTTATTCCAAACAGTATTTGTGGTACAGGTATGGAATTTTCAGCGTGCATTACAATATTGCATCTAATTACCTCATAAATTTTACAAGATTTTAAAAATAAAAAGCAACAACAACAAAAAGAGAAATAAAAGAAATAAAAAAGAACAGCATTGCATTCACATATTTAAACAATGCACCACAGGATATGAAATATAAAATTAGTGTATAATAGAATATGTGAGCAACAATATAATAGTAACAAAGAAAGGAGAAACAAAAGCTAATGGGAACTATTTGTTAGAGTGCCGCAGTAAATTGATCGTGTCATACCTAACGGATTTCTCATCACATAACAGCTGTGCCAGATAAGGTATTGTGGAGTTTTTATACTTGGTAGTCCTGGCATATAGCTTCCTAAAGTTGCTTCTAGTTTTACCAGATGAAATGCAAGGAGAGAGCTGCGTATAGAGAGGGTGTTCGGGGTCTGACAATATAGAATTCGCTAGTTTCTTACATGACATTATATGTCTATCCACAATGGTGTTAACCAGTTGGTTTAACGAAATCCCACTTCCCCTACTAACAGCTTTTAGTGCCCTACGCAGCAAAGCAAAGTCTTTCTTAAGTAGTCCAGGGAAGATTAATGGGGAGCAGTAAAGAGGGATGGTTAGAATACAAGAGTTGACAAAATGAGAAAGCAAAGACTGCTTTATACCAGACTGCCTTAACTTAATAACGTAGAACGTTAAGCGAAACATCTTTCTAGTAACCAGCAAGATGTGAGAGGACCAGGAAAGATCGGAGGAAATACTCAGTCCAAGGTACTTGACATTAGATGTAGTTTCAACCTCTATGCCGTCAATGATAGTGGGACCATGTGAGCTAGGTAATTGTTGTAGGTTACTTTTTCGTTTGAAAGTAAAATTTACTACTTGACATTCAGACGGATTCAGCTTAAGCCGCCATGCAGGCCGCCTGCTTAAATCACTATCACTGGGAAACCGACACTTTTTGAGGACTAAACGGCTAAGCTCATTTATATGCGAATAAAAAGGACAAAACAAATACAAACATGTATGTATGTAGAGAGGAATTCAGTTCACACAAATTAATATATATATATATATATATATTAAATGCAGTTACTTACTTGGTGAGTTATAATTGCCCCCAAAAATAAACAAGTAAAGACATACAGAATTGTAGTGAAAAAGTAGTCCTTTTTCGGTATGTAGTTGCTCACTCCACTTAAGACTATGCCAAAAGCCCACCCGAGGGTACTCTCGGAGAGAAAAGGAGACTGAAGCAAAGGATCCAAATGTGAATGTACGGATCAGGTACAATCCGGAGATGATTGGCAATAGGGAAAAGCAAGAAGCTAGAGAGGGAAGTTGTGTTGTCCGTACTGCGCGCTGAACCAGGTCATGTCCTTATTCAGTCTCAATTAACAACCGTGATGTGCAATGAATTCATTATTTTTAGTATTATATAATATGATATTTTTCGGCCTTCACACACTGGAGTACTGGACAGCTTTCTAGTCAGCCTAGTTTTGGACTCATTAGCAATATGCATCCTACCCACTGCCAGGGTTCGAATCATGGACCTTCCGGTTACAAAGCGGTCTCATTTACTATTCAGCTACTGGAACCCGACTCCTCGATGGCCAGCAGCCCATGTGTTCCAACTTCTGTCAATTTACGCATGATATAGCACGACTGGCATCAACCACTTTCATTACTGACGAGAATTTTTCTCTAATTATCCGACCGGGTGAACCCCACTGGCCACGACTTCTCAATAGAACCCAGGTAATGACCTACTTGAATAGGGCCAGTCGTTAGTGAGCATCAGATTGATATCCAATTATACTTAATAAAGAATGCAAAGAACCAGTCGGATACTGGTAAAATTTACATAGTGTAAGGTGTAATCTAGGAGGAGATGACCAATCGGGAATTAGAAAAAGGGGACAGAATTCAGGATGATGTTATAAGTGTGTAGAGTGGACAAGAATTAGTAGAAAGATGAAAAAGTGTTTTCATGAAATCACCATGGAAATGCAATGTTATCAGTAAACAATAATAGAGTGAAAATTGTTATGATGCTAGATCTTTTGTCACGAAGTCACTGCTTAACTACTGACCAGTACCCACTTAACTGGTAAAGCAGAACACGAAGAGAATCAACGGTAAAACCAGGTTCATTTATTATGACAAAATTGACTGTATTTATACAGAAAATAATGTAGACTGCAAATCAACCAATCCGGTTGAGAGCTGGAATTGTGCAAGCGTCCAATCAGAAGCAGGAACAATTGCATGTCAACGACTTGTTAATAACGCGATAATAACTTGACTGAGACATGGTAATGACCTGATAATTGCATGTGCTTTGCCTCTTCCTAGCAATAATCAAGTAAGAATCATGATAATAATAATAATAATAACTTAAGTAAACTTGTAACAATAGAAGGCAAGACATAGAAGCCAAGGTATATTTTCAAGTGATCAAATAACTATTTATATCTATACAGTTTTATATTCTTTAACCAATCAGTAAGCGTGTGATTTTGGTTTACATCAAACGACATGAAATAGAAGGTTCAAATGCATACAGTATACTGTTGCTAATACGGTGCTGAACTGTGGGAAAGGAATTCAGAAGTTAACACTAACTAATACAATGACTCTTACTGTGAGAATAATATTCCGTTGGAACCCATTGTCTGTATCACACCATCACAGACTTACATAATAAAATGAAGCAAAATTATAGTAAGAACATTACTCTGGCCACGGTAGGGTGAGTGAATGTATGCAGTGCTTTAAAAACACAGAGATCCAGCTTTAGATTCCGAGTAGTCAGTGTAGATGGTGTATTCGAAGCACCAGTTTGAATGGATATCAAGAGAAGCAAAAAAGTCACCTTAGCGAAGAAAATTTCTGTTTATCGACGAAATCACCTTCACAGGCTGTATAGTCGTATTTATACTTACCCGAAATGTATAGTAGTCTATTACTGAGTAATAGGGGGTGACATAATTGATATAATTACTCAGAAATGACTTCAAAAGTAGAAAATAAACGTTATAAATTACGTAATACTCAACGGAACAAAGGAAGAAGGGCTTAGAAATTTGATAAGGTTAAAACTGTCATTGAATGAGAAGAAAAGTGCTTGAGTCTCCATTTGACACGTGCAAAGAGGGTTAGAAAACGTACAAATGGAATATGTGAATTGATTATTAAAGTAAAAGCAAAATAATCACTCAAAATAAAAATAAAAAATTCACAGGAAACGATTAATTAACAGGTTAAGACCATAGTAGAATAAGAGACTGGAAAAGCTTTATACAGAGCTCAAGGATGTATTGGCGGATTGCCAACACCTCTGTCATAAACAAATGCCGAAACCTGACGTTCTTTGTACCATTTGGCCTTACCTCGTAGATAATTTTAAAAGACCAATCTGTTGGAGCTGTATGGCTCGAGTTCACCAAGTTTTGCAGAACTGAGCTGGTAGCTAACTGTCTTGCATTGTCCTTTTGCTAACCATGCCGGTTAATGTTCAGGGATGCGTTTGGAAAGTGTGCTCTGTGTACGGCCAATATAACCAGCTCCACAGGAGCAGGTGAATTTATAAACACACACTGAAGTGGCGCAAAGCGGCAGTTTGTCCTTCACACAACAACTGATCATTTGTTGGCTCAGCCGCATAAGTGTTTCTGAAAGTCTCGGCCACAGCGTCACCTTTAAATTCAACGTTCATGAATAGTAGTTTTTTCAGCACTGTCTAGGTTACTTAGGGTTTTTGCTTTATCTTCATGTTTTTCTCGATAAATCTTGAAGGATATCTACTTTCCATGAGGACTCGTCTGAGTCTCTCTAGTTCACCATCGACTGTATCACTAGTGCATATCATTCTTATTCTTGAGGATAAGAAGTGGATCAAGTTTCTCTTTCTTCTCAAAGGGACCCAAATATGAAAATTCGTGTATTGACCATTAAATGTTGGTTACATCTAATTCACAATGTAATTTATACCTCATATAAATTAAACAGTATATCAAGGATAAAGATCCTTTAGATAATACGTGGATTTCTAACAGATTGTTTAATCGGGTATGGCAACTGAATGTGATGTGATGATTTGCGTCGGTGGCGCAGCGGTAGGATGCTCATCAACCACACATGTAGTCCGGGGCTCGGTCCCCGACCGACACACTCCTATACGTCGCTCGCTAAGCCAGTAAACAAGACTGATAAAGAAGGAAGGTTGAGCATGAGACTTGCAACCTCATCCTGTAAAATAAAACATCATCGCTACGGAAACTTCAAAGCTCTAGCTTGAAGCCCTATGTTTCACTGGGAACGTAAAGGAATAAAAAAAAAATTCGCTCACTTATTCGTTTGATAACTTGTTAAAATCTTTTTGACAAGCATCAAAACTATGTCCAAAGCTTCCTACCGACTGCCTCCAACCATTTAATAGCAAGAATTTTGAGTGCACCATGGCAGTAAGCTACCTAGTGGCACCGTGGCAACATAGTAAACTTGACTGATTGATAGAATTCAGTCTGCAGCAATAAGCAAGGGACTAGACACATTACAGTAGTTACCAACTAGTGTCTAACCAAAGAAGACTCTCTCTTTCTCGCGTTCGAATCTCAGGAGGGACATCAGTTTCTTCAAGATTGCAGATTCGCCTCGCTGACTGTTTGGTGAGTGCCAATAAGCAAGAAATCTAGGTGAGGTATGGTTTCCTTCCGATTGCCTCTTACCATCTAATGGTAACTATTAGAATTGTTTTACTTCATTTCATTTCTGCTTTGCAACAGGCTCGGACCAAACTGCTGAAATGGTCTGCTGGTATTTTAATATTACCAATTGATAAACTTTCTTGAAGGAGATTATCATTTTGCTTTTACATCAACTGACAATTAGGTGAAGGCGATGACTGAATCTGTTCGTCTTCCTTCATGACCTTGCAATATTCATAAATGAATAGTGACTGGACCTATTCAGGCAGTTAACCTGGGGTTCTAGTGGGAAGCCGTGACCAGTAGGGTACAGCAGGTTGAAGATGAGGCAGTAACTCATCGAAGAAGATATTGCGAAATGGTCGCGTTATGTCGTGAATTGGCAAAAGTTAGAATTCAAGGACCATTGGATCGGGTCCCAGTGGCTCAATGGTCTACGAGCTCTCCTTGTAACCAGAAGTCCCTGGGTTCGAGTCCCGGTGGGTGCGTAGCCTTGAAGAGTCCCAAACTGAAAAGAAACAGCTGTCCAGTACATCCAGGTTTTCCAATGGTTCTCTGACTGATGTCTGCTCACGATGAAATCCTCCATGCAATCAAACAAAATCCCTACAAAACCAATACTTGAAAGTTTAGAATTTATTGTTTATGGAACAGACAAACTGAAGAGACTTAAGTAATGCAGGGATTTGATTCGTTTCTCAGGTTTGATCCCAGACTGATATCAGTTAGAGAACCGTTGAAAACCAGCACTCGAGTATTAAACAGTTAGCTGTTTCATCAGCCTAGTTTTGGACTCATTGGAAGTACGCACCCCTGGGATTCGAACCAAGGAAGTCCTGGCTACAAGACAAGCTCATAGAACATTCAGCCGCTAGGGAGACACATTTAGGTGGTTCAAATAATGTACAGAAGGCTTTTTATTCTTCTGGAGATACGCAGAATCAGTGAAAATATTACTGCTCACGTTTTAAGATCAGCCGTTTATACAGATAAGCTTTTCTAACGGTTAGTCATATTTGTGATAATTTAGCGGAGTCAGCCTCTTACTCTTTCATATTATTATATTATTATTGTTCCCTTGGGTTCCTAGTGGAACACAGGGCTTCAACTCCACGTCTCCACTTGCTTCTGTCTTCTGCTGTACTTTTCACTTCCATCCATGTTAGTCCATTCTGTTTCAACTCCTCTTCACACGATCTCCTCCATGTCACCCTTGCACCGACGTCCCACTCGCCGCTTCCCTTTCGGGTTCCACTCGAGTGATGGCCTGACGCGCGATGTCACCCAGTGGCCTCCTCAGCGAGTGCTCAATCCTTCTCCTCTTTCTCCTGCATATTTGTTGAGCGATTGAACTCCGCTAAATGTTAGTTTCATCTTTGGGCCTGGAGAAAATATTCTCAAAGTATAGGTTCTTTGATTTTCTTCCAAAATAAATTATTCCATTCCACTGGCAAGAGATAGCTATCACCTCTAGTTCGAGTCTCTTCATCAGTATGCAGCCATGAATTCACAGTGGAATACTCTCAGAATCTTCAGTTGCAGAGTGACCGCGTTAACTATTATGTCAGGAATTCTTGTTTCTACTTAATTTTGATATACGTATAAATTGGGCCACCGACAGACTGTTTGCTATCTGCAAGTATCTCTCCTCACAACCAACGTATCAGACTCCACACGGGTAGAAAATTCCCACTAGCTACTGGTTATAGAATGGATTTATTGCAAGTATAGTGAGAAATGTTAGCCAACGGGGTTAACCATTTCGAATGTGACAATAGATACTCGCCAACAGCATCGTCTTGCAGTGACACTATATATATCCCAAAATGACAGAAGTTAAAATTCATGCGTCAACAAAAGTCGCCTAACTGGTTGAGTAATCAGACAGCTTGTCTTGCAGCCTGAAGATCATGTGTTTGTCTCACACTGGTGTCATGAGTGCATACTACTACTGATGAGTATCAAACTCGGACAAAACCCACCATCTAGTACTCCCTAGTTTTCAGTGATTCTGCAATTGAAATCAGTTAGTGACCTAACGCTTATTAATCACATATTCACAGATCATTTTATCAAATATTCTCTTTTTGTCTCTCCCAATTCTTTTTTTTACAGAAACTCAACAGAAAGGCACACTAAACGGAATAGACGACAAAGATGTTACTGTAAAGTTAGGCACTAGTAAAACATTTCAATGTGGCATTTTAATGAATGACCAAAATATTCAAGGTTATTGGACAGGTTCTTTAGTGCATGGACAAATGGATGCAGTATCATTAATTCACGATAATGATAATAATAATAATAAGGTGAAAATTAAACCAAGAAAATGTAGTTCAGTCTATGATATCAAAGGTAGTGTTGATGTGAAGTGTACATTTATGAATATGAAGCATGATATACAATTTATGTTTACAAAAACTATACATATTGTTGGTAAGTTGAATGACGCATCGAGTAATTTCTCAATTTTATTTATTTTATTTTATTCTATTTTGATTATACCTTAATTCCACACCGTATTTTTGGTACAAGTATGGAATTTTCAGCATGTGATATCCGTAGCCGAAATTTAGCAGGCTGACCATTGATATGAAGTGTGCATCTGTAGGAGGTCGAAAACCCGGAGCATGTGCTCGGTCGGTGAGCGTGCAAACCACTGTGCCAGCGACTCACATGCTTAATTATCCATTTGTCCTTCAATGGTTTAATGATAGGACGCGCTTGCCAGTCACAACATATGATCCAGGCTCAGTTACTAGCCGACACATCTAAATTTTGCCATCTTCACTAACCGGCTGTAAGCTAGGAAAGGAAAAGAAGAATCTTCAAAAGAACTTGAAGCCTTGTGCTCTACACAGGGGAACTCAGAGGAATGAGAAATATATTTCCTAGTGGTTTTTACAACTGATTAACATGAGAAAATAAGTTCAGCGTAGACAAATATCTTTTCAGTGATTTCCTTCTCAAAAGCAGTTGTGTAATTGCACTAATATACACCATATGTTAACATAGATACAGTTATTCTGATTAAATTCCGCATAATAACGAAGGAGGTTAGCGGTGGCAATAATTTCCAACTTGATATGAAAGTACAAAGGTGTGAATGTAGATTACAAGGGGCTTAGAAGCAAAATTGTATAAGATCAGAAAATAATATTTAATGAATACGTGTGGTGCATTAGTGGTGCAGCAGTAGAATACTCACCAAACATGTCGGATGTGGTTCGAGGTTTGATCCCCGACCGACGCACTCCTTTACCTCTCTAAGCCAGTAATAAGACTGGTGAACACGGTAGGTTCAACATGAGGCTAGCAATCTTATCCAGCAAAAATAAGCACCCCTGCTACTGAAACTTCAAAGCTGTAACTTGTAGCCTTATGTTCCGCTAGGAACGTAAAAGGATAAAATTAATAATAATGACTACACGTGTGAATGGGTTAAGCATTGAAGCAAACTGAAATGGAAAAAACAAAAAAAGAAACAACGAAAAATAAAGAAGTCGAATAGAACTAGATCCGTGCGAAATGTATAGATTGGACTGGTTTCTTTTGAAAACATAGTTCCGGTTTTTCGATATATGTGGCGAGGGCCTGTGCAGTAGAAAGGAGTCGGAAATGCATTGCCTTTTGTAGATTATTGTTTACATTGTAAATGAATATAAATGATGAGTCGGTTGATGTAATGTGACAGGTGCTGAGTGTTCAAATGTAATTGTTCTAACTGAACCGGTTCCTCCTCTTTTCATCTATGCTGGGTAGTGTTCCCTAACACGTTCTTTAGGGACCCGCATATGATGATCTATGTACCAGTCTCCTGTGGAGTAGGTGAATTGATGTATGCACACTGGAGTGGTTATAGCTTGTCCTTTACAGTGCTTAAAAGTGCTGGACGGCTGGATAATATCACTCTTAATGTTGTTGCAGGAAATGTTGTCTTTAAGAAACTAGAGATTCTCCCCCTTTAGGATATCTGCCGTTAAATCACTCCTGAAGTCCAGATTTACACACTTCTTTTTCTTTGGTACTGAAGTGCATTCTGCCCTTTTCGGTTTTGGCTTCATTTTCTTCTCCATGAAACGTGCAGGGTATCTAGTCTGAGCCAGGATAGTTTTGAGAAATAAGAACTCTTCCTCTAAGTTGTCAATACTGATACGATGAGACAATGAGATAATGGTATACAACTACAGAAGTTTGTCATTTTACCCTTCCATGTTGTTTTCTTTAAAATATATCTTTTCAAAGTTTCATCATCTCTTCTCGTCACCTGATATCAATTGTGGGCTTGCTAAATTTGGGCTGCCAATATCAAATGCTGAGAAATCAATAGTTGTACCGTAATACTGTATGGAATCAAGCTATAACAAAAAATTGCACATCCAGAAATACAATCTTTGATTCATTTTCCGATTTCATTGTGAATTTAACTGAAGGCTGGTAACTGTTCAACTCCTGCAAGACAGTGTTTATATCGGAATCAGCATGACAGACTACAAAAGTGTCATCGATGTACCTTTTTTACGGCATTAATTTGTCTGTTGTTGCTCTTAAGATCCCATTTTCCAGAGTGGACATAAAGTAGTCTGCCAACAGTGGGTCAAGAGGAGAGTTCATGACAATTCCATCTTTCTGTCTGTAGATATCATCACTGAAGGTAAATTGTATCCTAAGTATCCATCTCAGTAACAACTCTTACAGATATGAGGTTAGTACTTCGATTCTCAGATTCATATCCTCGAAATATATTTACACAGGAAGCAAATTGTTTCTGTGAGTAACACGTCGGTATATAGAGACTCTACGTCTAGTTATAACGAACGTTTGCCATTTACATTCAAATCTTTTATGCATTCAATAAATTGAAAAGTATCTCGGAGATAGTACTTACACAATTATCGCCTTATAGGCTCTAACATTCCAGAGAATGATTTACCAATTGGATAGTATTGTGACCCTGACATATCTGAAATTGGTCGAAGTGGCAGACCAGTTTTGTGCATCTTTGGTAGACTGTAGAGTGGGGGGAGGATTATTGATGCCGTCGATCTCAGGCGTTCTCAAAGGTCTTCACTTATCAGACAGTCGTTCTTCATTCTTCTGAGAACATTTGTCAGTTGTCGTTCAATCACCTCTGGTTTATTTTTCTCGTTGTGTAGCTTGAAAAATTTATTGTCATCGGAGATTTCAGTTATCATTTTTTTAATATATGCATCTCCATCTATGAGGACCATAATCGAAAATTTTTCTGGACTTGTAATTATTAAATCTGTATTGTTGTCATCATTATATTAGACGTTGGAATCCATTGAGGCCATTTGTGTCTACTAGTCAGTATCAATATTTCGCTCATTTAGATCTGAGCTCATTAGCAACATATTCGGTTATATTTAGCTCACACAGCACACAGTATACGGTCTGAATATTTAAAGTTTCTGAGAGGAAATATGAAAGATCTTCAATCTGTGTAGATTTCTGCTGAACGTTTCTTCAGACCCTTGGTTTCCAAATGGAACGTAGGATTTCAACATCACGTCTCCACTTTATATTATTTTCTGTGTCCATCTTTAGCTAGCCCCACGATAACCCGTAATCTCTCATCTCCTCCTCCTCAAACGATCTCCTCAATGTAACTTTCGGACCGATGCCTAACTCGTCGTTTCCAATCTAGGTTTCACTTGACGGTTAGCCTGGTGCGCGATGTCATTCAAACATCTCCTCAATGATGTGTGCCCAGTCCATCTCCACTTTCTTCTACATATTTTTTTGAGCAGCAGGTTCTTGGTTAGTTTGTTAATTGACAGAGTTTCTTGTTGCTAATTCTCTCTGACTCGCTAGCCATTCAGTCTTCAGTGTGGAGCCATCGAAGGTGGCAGCTGTTGATAAAGGTCTGCAGTGGCCTGTTTGAAATGCTTTTGGTGACGCGTAGTGCAGGTTTCCGAACCATATAGAAATGATTTAATATTGGTGTTCAAAATCTGAATTTCAATTGTGATAGTAAGTGCAGAAGATCTTGAGACTGGTATCAGATTGATGGAAGTTTATCTTGCCCTTCTGATTCTGCCTTTGACATCTTCATCCGTTCCACTTGCAGTTGAACCGATGCTTCCCAGATGAGTGAAGGTAGTAACCTCTTTAAAATTTCTCCCTTTGATAGTGACTAGTGCTAGTTGTTGTTGGTGTTGGTTGGTTATCTTCAACACCTCCCTGTTCTCTATGTTCAACTGTAGTCTTGTCTTCGCTGCTTATATTATAGGAGGATGTTTTTTCATAATTGTTGTATAGTCTACTCTGTGTGTAGTTTAGATAGAAAGTTTCTGATGTCCTTCCAAATAAAAGTTCTAACTCTAAATTCAAGTTAGCTCTTGTAATTTCCTACAATTGAACAATTTGTCTTCCTTGACGGCCTTGATGCATTTTAGAGATATTTCTATCTCTGTGTTCATTTGTACTGGCATTTGTCGATCCGCTGATCTGATGTTTGACTTTTGTCCGTGGAAATTATTCTTTATTGAAAGTCATTGCCACAGATGAATCTTTCAACTTTTTATGACATTAAGCATCATTATGTAAGTAAAATGTACGTTTAATGTAAGAATATAAATTGGCCACTGTGGCAGAATATAATTCCACTGTGGATAAAATTTATTTCAATAAAGTCTTACAGTGTTGCACAGTATTCTTTACTGATGACCACTTTTCGAGCACAATTAATTACTGCTCATAATCATATCAAGTTACTCAAACAACTTCCCGACCAACACATTCAACGATCTCTGTTGTCAGTCTGATCTCAGTAAGCTTCAAATTCTCAAATTACCTCCTGAATCCCCAACTTCAGAAAATCTAGTTGGAATTAATCAAAATTTGTCATAATAGTTCAATAATATTCACTATCTACCATCCTCAGAGTTGCATATACTTTTCAGTCCTTTATTTTATTGATTTTGTGTCGGATTTTAGGCTATCCACCCTCTAGTTCTATCAAGGCTGTCATCCTGAGGCGATGCAGTTTCGTGGATAGTTCCGAATTTCTCTGTATTTTTTTTTCCAATTTCATCAGTATACTACTTGAGAATACAAGGTGGAAAAAGTAGTAATATTAAATTCTCCTCCTTTCCTTTTTTTTATAGATGCCGGTTATACTGGTTCTCTGAATGGTCTTACTGACTCTGATGTCACTGTACCAGTTGGTTCCAGTGATATAATTAAATGTGGTCTATTACCAAATACTAATGAATTCTTAACTATTGGTTACTGGTATGCACGTATTGTGAATGGTAATAAAGAGATGATATCCATCAAAATATGCAATGGACAAGCTTTAATACAACCAACAAATAATACTGATGTATTTTATGTAGAAGGTGTAGTTGAAATTGAATGTATCCTTAAACGATATGATAATAATAATGAAGTGATTTTTGCCTTTAATAAAACTTTCGAGGTGAATGGTAAGTTAAAGATGATTGATTGATTCTCGCATACATGTATAGTTTTCCTATCCAGTGTTAATTAACTGTGCTTTCTATACACTAAAGACATTAACTCAATTTTATAAATTAGGAGCAAAAGAGAGTTGGGCGCTGGTCTGAGGCTGATGTAGAGAAGACCATGCGAGGAGGATCAGAAGAAAGCGTGTAAGCGCTGATGAAGGCAGATGAAACCAATAGCATCGAACCAGGTACAATGAGGATGTGCCTGTGATACACTGTGTTCCAGTGGGAACACAAGTAATCAGTGATATTAACAGTGATTGTAAGGCTGGATTTCACAGAAAATATTTATCAATAACGAATTTAGATTCCTAGGGCTGAGAACAATAAGCATGATAGCCAATTTAAAGTAAAGAGATCCAGGAGTATTGATTGGTACACCAGTGACCCTGAACGCATACTATTCGTTGGATAATGAGCCTTACCATTGTTGTAGAGCTATTATGAATGCTGTTCACTTATTGACGTGCAAATTTCAACATGATCTCGTTTTAAGTACCGTTTGGAAAATGGTGCGATAGCTCATTAGGGTTAGGATGTTTTACTTTTTAATATCTGCAGTTTTTTATAATATATCGGTCGGTCGGTCGGTTTTCGACATAGAAATTCGCACAGATGTGCAGCAGTTCAAGTCGCCACACTCCACGTAGCACAGGAAGTAAGGGAAGAGAGTAGAAGAAATGCATAATAAAGACAGTAAACAGAGGTGGGAGACAAAGGAATAGTAATATCGATGAGCAATATGGTTTCATTGGGTATTATAAGTCATAAGGAGTAAATGCATCTGTGTCAGCCATTGAGAAAGATTTTGAGCCATATCACCAATTGTTTCCAGCCATTGGTTTTGACCGTCCCAAAGACCCCAACCAGTCAGGAAGTCTACACCTTCCTACGTGGCTGGCTTAAACTAACTGTTGTGGATTTCATTGGCTGGTGCCACCGCTAGCTCTTTTCCAGCCTGACCCTATATCAGCTAACATTGCCCGTCGACGAAGGCGATTACTAGGCATACGTAACACTTCTCCCAACCATCTCAGTCAATGTAATTTCACAGCCTCGTCTATGAAATTATATATATATTATATACAGTCGTTGACCGCCTTTTGGGAACCCTTACTAGTTCAATCTCGGTTTTTTTGGAGGATGAGTGCGAAAAACAGGATAAGACCGATAAATAGATGGGTCACAAAAAGAACACATCTTCAGTCACCTCGATATATATACATGTACAGAAAAAGGTCTAACTCAAAAACTGATACTCCTTATTACAACTGAGAGGAATTTCTAAGTCATCTTAGAGAAAAATATCCTGTTGAATATGTTTTATCATTATTCTCTGTACTTCTCATGTAAAAAACGACATCTTTATGTGAAAACCACTGGTTTTCATTGGACACTAGTTAGTTACTAGTGTAATATGTTTAGTCTTTTGTTTAGTGCAGCACTGGAGGACGTGGTTTTGAATCTCAGAAGGGGGGACATGAGTTCTTTCAAGGGTGCAGATACGCCTTGCTAACTGAGGAGTCCCAACAAGCACGAAACCTAGGTCAAGTAGGGCTTCTTATTGATTGCCTCCAATAATCTAATATAAAACCACTCGTTCATCTGATTGATCACCTTAAGCTCAGTCATGCGTGCACATCTCATGAATCGTTATAATTTAATTTTGCTAGCATGCTACTTACCATGACATATTTAATATATAGTGTGAGTATAAGGATTCAGAAGATACTTGAAAATCCTGCAGCTTGATATAATGTGCAGATTGATCTTATTGTGTTTTTTAAGAACTGGATGTTAAGCTAACGCTTCTAAGGTTCGAGCCCGTCTTCACCTGCTTCAGTGTAGAAAACAGAGTAATTAAAAAAGTCTTCACAAAATTAGTGTGGCTTACAGCGTCATACATGTGTTCCTGAAGGAGTGAGTTCCAATAATGATAATTGAATATTGTGCGATATTGAATTAATAAATGATCTTTCTGTGTCTGTTCATTTCCTGTTTAATGTCGACTTCAGTCGACTTCATGATTTTTGCCGAGCATCACCGTCCTTCTGAAGTCCACAGATCTTTTTACACTGATTTATAAACTTCGTAAAAGTATGTCTGTCTGTCTGATCTTGAAATAGAACTTTGCACAGATATGCAGCAGTTCAAGTCGCCACACTCCATGTAGCACACGAAGGCAGAGAAGAGAGTAGAAGAAATGAATAATATAGACAGTAAACAGAGGTGTGAAACAAAGGAATAGTAATATTGATGAACAATATAGTTTTATTGGCCATTATAAGTCACAAGGAGTGGATGCATCTGTGTCAGCCATTGAGAACGATTTTGAGCCATGTCGCCAATTGCTTTCAACTATTGGTTTTTACCGTCCCGAGGACCCCAACCAGGAAGTCTACACCTTCCTACGTGGCTGGCTGGCTTAGACTAACTGTTGTGGATTTCATTGACTGGTGTCATGTTTTCGTTTGACTGCCGCTAGCTCTTTTCCAGCCTGACCCTATATCAGCTAACATTGCCCACTGTCGAGGAAGGTGATGACTAGGCATACGTAGCACATGTCCCAACCATCTCAGTCGATGTAATTTCACAGCCTCGTCGACTGATTTCCCCTCCTTACCTAGCACTCGACGCATAACCTCAATATTGCCCACCTTATTATACCACTTCACATGGAAGAGAGAACGCAGACACCTATGATCGAAGACAGCTAATCTTTTCATGTCTTCTGCTCTCAATGGCCAGGTCTCACAGCTACAAAAGAGGACAGAGCGGACTGCTGAGCAGTACACCCGCCCTTTGGTCGATAGTTGGACATCACGTCTACGCCAGAGACGTAAAAAAAGTAATGCAAATAATGCAGACACCTTCATGGTGATGTAATCATGTTTTAACATCACATGATTAACTACACATTAGCATTATTACGCCATACAATACACAGACTACCAATATCTTAGAGAAAACGTTACTACCGCCAAGATATGCAATATTGCTTTAGGTTGACTACATAGTGCATTTTATTTTATGATTAGAATTTCAGGCAAGTGTAAAAAATAGCGAACACATAGTGCGAATGCACTCGTGGCCTTGAACATATACGACTCGTTGGATTACAGGATCTGCCGTGTATTGCACTACATCAAATAGCCGTTTAGTTTACGAGAAAAAATTAACATAATAATAAAAATAATAAGAGTAATAATAATAATGAAACACCACGCATTTACTCCCCTTTATGAATTTGAATAAAGCAAGAACAACAGTTTGTGCGTAGTGACATCGTACCATCATTCATTTCGTCGGCTTGTCATCGGCTGCTTACAACCTAAATAAATTACTATTAAGTTTTATGCACAGAAGCGGTTTTAACATATTTTCAATTTTCACATGATGTCAGTTGACAGAGAGTTAAGTTTAAACAAAAATTAATGTATACATACAGTGGTAAGGGAGTTACGTAATTATGACAACAGGTTAGAGTCAAAAATTACGTAATCCGGCACAAGAGAGAGTAAAGACATCTCGTTGTTACCAGGGTAGGGAAAGACTGATAACTGCTTCTTTCTGAAGACACAAATCGGGTTTCAGGCATCTGACATAGGGTGCTTTAGCAAACTTGTGGAGAATTGAGCTCTCTTCTAAATTTATAGTTTTAAAGGATTTTGCGATGTCTATCTCATGACCTGTATTGACGAGATGATAACCAGAGAATAATCTCGTCGAGTGAGTATGCGGACGATATAGTCCTTCTAGGCGAGGACGCCGACAAATGCAGAGTCTACAGAAAACCTTGAGCAACAATCTTCGGATGCTTGGCATGCAATTCGCCCCTGCAAAATGTAAAATGATGCTGCAAGATTGGACTTCACCGACCCCTAGATTAGAAACAGGAAGTGAAGTGGTGGAGCACGTTGAACGCTTCACTTACTTGAGAAGTACCACCAGCCCCAACGGGTTGATCTCTGACGAAATCTCAGCACGAATACAGAGGGCTAGTTTCGCATATGCCAGTTTACGCCGTCTCTGGCGTGGATGTGATATCCGACTATCGACCAAGGGGCGGGTGTACTGCTCAACAGTCCGCTCCGTCCTCCTTTATGGCTGTGAGACCTGGCCATTGAGAGCAGAAGACATGGAAAGATTAGCTGTCTTCGATCATAGGTGTCTGCGTTCTATCTCCTGTGTGAAGTGGCATAATAAGGTGAGCAATATTGAGGTTATGCGTCGAGTGCTAGGTAAGGAGGCCATATCATTCGACGAGACTGAAATTACATCGACTGAGATGGTTAGGACATGTGCTACGTATGCCTAGTCATCGCCTTCCTCGACAGTGGGCAATGTTATCTGACATAGAGTCAATCTGGAAAAGAGCTATCGGCGGTCAAACCAAAACATGGCACCAGTCAATGAAATCCACAACAGTTAGTTTAAACCAGCGAGCCACGTGGGAAGGTGTAGACTTCCTGACTGTTTGGGGTCCTCGAGACGGTAAAACCAGTGGTTGGAAACAACTGATGACATGGCTCAAAATCGTTCTCAATGGCTGACACAGATGCATCCACTCCTTGTGACTTATGATTTCCAATTAAACTGTTTTGTTCTTCATTATTACTATACCTTTGTCTCCCACCTCTGTTTACTGTCTATATTATGCATTTCTTCTACTTTCTTTTCTTGCTTTGTGTGCTACACGGAGTGTGGCGACTTGAACTGCTGCACATCTGTGCAAAGTTCTACGTCGCAACCGACCGTGCGAACAAGATGCCTGGCAATGGCACTATTGAAAGAGTTTTTTCCTCTGAGATGTGGAGGTTTTGGTAGACAGTCAGAAAATCAGAGGTGTGCCCTTCTTTTAATTCACTCAATGTAACTACTCCCATAGATACACGTGAATTTGTATATACCGTTATAGTTAACATGAGGAGGGTACCTGTCAACTTTTGATTGCACCA